CGCAAGTCTCCGGAGGGGCTGGAGCCCGAGTTGGCAGGGGAGAGCCAGCAGGCTGAGCTGTACTACACTCTCCATGCGCCAGATGCCTCGGGGGGCTGTGGGGGCACCCGGCGTGGGGCTGGGGCCGGAGTGGGGGCCCGGGCGGAGAGCCCTACCCAGCACCCGCTGCTGCGCATAGGGAGCATCAGCCTGTTCCGCCCGCCCCCCAGGAGGACCCTGCAGGAGCACAGGCTGGACAGCAACCTGATGATCCGCCTGCCCGACCGGCCCCTCAAGCCGGGGGAAGTGCTCAGCATCCTCCTCTACCTGGCCCCCAACTCCTCCTCCCCCTCCCGCCCCAGCGTGGAGCATTTCACACTCAGGTAGGCGCTCATGGGTCAGGGTCTGGCTTCCCTCTGTAGGGCCTCACCCAGCCTGCCTGTCCAGCCTCCTAATCCCAGCTCTTCCACTTATCACTCGATCGACCTCAGGAAGACATGTCACTTATTTGAGCCTCAGTGGTCTCATCTGTCTAATGGCGACAGAAATCCCCGCCCTGTCTCCATATCTCACAGAATCATGTTGGGCCCCGGGCTGACTCTCTCCTCCTCCTTCCTCCCTCTTTGTCCCAGGGTGAAGGCCAAGAAGGGCGTGACCCTTTTAGGCACCAAGTCACGGAGTGGCCAGTGGCACGTGACCTCGGAGCTGCTGACTGGGGCAAAGCACTCAACGGCCACCGTGGATGTGGCCTGGGCCCAGGGCTCACCGCTGCCCCCGTGGTGAGCTGAGGTGGCGCCTCTGCCCACCTTTCTGCAGGACAGGCCCCTGGGGGGTGGGGGAGTCCTTGGTGGAGAAGGCCAGGCTTGTGGGAGGGCTGGGCTTAGTCTGTGGGGGCTCTGAGTCCAGGTGGGGCACCTCGGGTGGCTGGAGGAGGCTCGGAGGACCTCAGGGGCCAGGCTGCCGAGAGGGGCTGAGGTTCCAGAGCTCCGGAGCCGCTCCCAGCCCTTCCTCTCCGGCTCTCCTTCCTTCCTGCCCTGGCAGGGAGGGCCAGGGGCCCCTGGAGATCCTGCAGCTGGACTTTGAGATGGAGAACTTCACCAGCCAGTCGGTCAAGCGGAGGATCATGTGGCACATCGACTACCGCGGCCATGGCGCTCTGCCCGACCTGGAACGGGCAGTCACCGAGCTGACGGTCATCCAGCGGGATGTGCAAGCCATCCTGCCCCTGGCCATGGTGAGCAGGGCAGGGGACCGGGCCGGTGGATGCGTGTGTCCATCGTGGATGCATGTGTGATGGGAATGTGCACGGCTCAGTGTGCGTATAGGTCAGTGCACATGTGCATGTGATCCAGTGTCTGCGTGTATGATTGTCTCCTGAACCATGTAAACGTGTGTGTGTGTGTGTGTGTGTACGCACGCACTCACAGGAGGCAGGCAGCACTCCGCCTGGTGCTGGAGTAGGACAGCAAATGCTGAGGGGGACTGAGGAGGGAGAAGTCACCCATGGAGAGACCACTCAGGGGATGTTTCCTGGAGGAGGTGGCCATGCAGTTGAACCTTGAAGGCCATGTGGGGGAAGGGCTCACACAATCAGAGAAGATGAGGAGGGTGCTTTAGTCAGGGGACCATGCTGACAGAAGGTGCAGTGATGGGAATGTGAGTGGTTGGTCCAAGGGAGCAATGGGTTTAGGAAGAGGGCATTGGGGTGATAAGGCTGGGATGATGGGCCGGGGCCAGCCCAGGAGCACCTTGAATGGCCAGGCAAATGCGTTGGACTTTCCTCGGCGAGTCCTGGGGAGCATGGAAGGCGTGGAGCGAAGATGGAAGGCACTGGGAATGGTTGTTTTTTGGCAGCAGAGGGAGGTAGACCATGGGAGCTACTGCAGAAGACCAAGCGAGCTGGGCATCTGAGAAGGTGCGAGGCTGGGTGGACGCACCTCCCTGCACATGTGCGCAGGTGTCCCCATGGAAGGGTGCACAGCTGACAAGTGGGGGCAGTCAGGAGCCGGGGCCTTGGCTGGTGTGTCCTGGTAGAGGAGGGATCTGCAAGCACCTGGCTCAGCAGAGCCCCACCCTCCTCTCCTCCCCACAGGACACAGAGATCATCAACACGGCCATCCTGACTGGCCGGACGGTGGCCATCCCTGTCAAGGTCATTGCCATCGAAGTGACCGGCCTCGTCCTAGATGTCTCTGCCCTGGTGGAATGTGAGTCTGACAATGAGGACATCATCAAGGTGAGCTTCCTGGAGGTGGGGCCCCTGGGAAGAAGGCCTTAGACCTTCGAGGGGAGGGGAGCCCCAAGCCAGAGGGGCGTTCACGTCCAGTGTAGGTTCCCTCGGCAGGCAAGAAGACTTGGAATTGGGAGCAGGAGTGGGAAAGAGCTGTGGGCATCCCTCATTCGGCCTGAGTGAGGTGAGGGAAAGCCCTGGGCACTGCCCTGCCAGCCCTGGAGGGCTGCCTGTAGGAATGGGGGAGAGACTGCCTGCAGACCATGGGGAGAAGGCAGTATTGACAACTTGAAGTCAATCTAATCTGGCAAGTGGTTCTGGAGCCCCTGGTGTGTGGCAGACACTGGGCAAGGCAACGAGGGGGCAAGGGGTGGGCGCCTCAGAGACATGCTCTGAACCTGGATGCTGGCTCCAAGTGGAGAAGACCCAGCACAGGGAGGAAGCTTCCAGAAGCATGTGAGTTAGGCCAGGAGTGAGGGTTGTACAAGGAAGGACCCCTCTGGGCACACACCCCAACCTCCTCCAACTCCCAAAGGCCTCTCCCTGAGTTCCTCCCCAGAGACCGCCCCGCTGCCCTGGGTCCTCCATGGCCTAGCAAAAGGGCTATTGATCTGATTCAAATGGCCCAGTTGCCACCTCCCCAGGAAGGCCTCCAGATTTGCCCCTTCCCCTGGCCTTGGATAGTGGTCAGAGGCAGTAGAGCGGGCAGTAATGCAGGAGGGTGTCCAGCCAGCAGTTCGACTCCGGAATCTGTTCCCTGTTCTTGTCAATCTTCCAGCTTGAAGGAGAGCGGGAGGAGAGGGATGGGGGTGGGCTCCCTCTGGCTCCCTGGGGCTAACCTGGAGTGCACGCTCTCTCTCCAAACTCTGCCCGGGGCCCCTCCAGGTCTGGGAGCCTGGAGCTCACCTTGGCTATCCCCCATCCAAGAAGAAGTCCTTCCAAGTGAGCTAGAGCAGATGGCGTGGTCCCCCACCCCCGTCACCTCCTGGGAGTAGAAGCCTTGGCCAGGCCCACGGGGCCCTCCACGGCTGGCAGCTGGCGCAGGAAGAATGGGCCTGCTCCCAAGAGCCCCGCACCTTTCTCTGCTGCCCAGACACCCCCACCCCAGCCCCAGAGGGACCAGAACAAAGTCGTGATGGCTGAGGTACCAAAGGGAATTAGTGAAGATTCTAAATGGAACTTGTTTCCGTTCTCAATGAAATACACTCGGGTTCCTTATGGAGTCTGCCAACATTCTAAGTGGAATTTGCCAGCCTTCAGATGGGATGCTCTGCCTCCCAAAGTGGGAAATGAGCATCGCTGGCAGGGCTTCGGTCCCACTCCCCCCTCCCGCCCCTCTGAGGCGGTTAAGAGAGCGAGCAGGAGTTTGGGACGCCCCGGGCTCATCTCCACAAATGAG